CGTTCCGACTTTGGTAACAACGCCGCGGTGAGATAACATGCCCTACCTTACGAGACTAGCAGACCAAAGTAGACGAACTCAATACTCTCGCAAACGGGTTCGCACCGAGGGCGCTACCGGCAGCACACACCATTCGGTTTCCCTTACGATTACGAGACTAGCAACCCAAAGTAGACGAAATCAATACTCTCGCAACGGGTTCGCACGATGGGCGCTACCGGTAGCACACACATTCGGTTCGCCCTACCGATTACGAGGACTAGCGACCAAAGTAGACGAATCAAACTCTCGCAAACGCGGTCGCCACGAGGGCGCTACCGCAGCACACACATTTCGGTTCGCCCTACGATTACGAGACTAGCGACCAAAGTAGACGATCAATACTCTCGCAAACGGGTCGCACAGGGGCGCTACGGTAGCACACACATTCCGGTTCGCCCTACGGATACGAGACTAGCCGACCAAAGTAGACGAATTCAATACTCTCGCAAACGGGTCGCCGTGGGCGCTACCGGTAGCCACACACATTCGGTTCGCCACGATTACGAGGACTTATCGACCCCCAAAGTAGAACGAATCAATACTCTCGCGCAAACGGGTTCGCACGAGCCTACCGGCTAGCACACACATTCGGTTCGCCCTACGATTACGAGACTACGACCAAAGTAGACGAATCAATACTCTGCGAACGGTCGCACGAGGGCGCTACCGCGCAGCACCACATTCGGTTCGCCTACGATTACAGCTAGCGACCAAGTAGACGAATCAATACTCTCGCCCAACGGGTTCGCCACGAGGGCGCCTACCCGTGCACACACCATTCCGTTCGCCCACGGATTACGAGACTAGCGACCAAAGTAGACGAATCAATTACTCTCTGCGAACGGGTCGCACGAGGGCGCTACCGGTACACACACATTCCGGTTTCGCCCTACGCTACGAGACTAGCGACCAAAGTAGACGAATCAATTACTCTCGCAAACGGGTCGCACGAGGCGCTACCGTAGCACACACATTCGGTAGCGCTCCCCCATCCACCTCGCTCCGCCCCACCCCCCAGCCCTCGGCGCGCCAGGTCTCCTGAAAGCCCAGGCAGACCGGCTTTGCGGGAGGGATTCTGGGCTCGTGGCAGAGCAATCGCCGGATGTTCTGCCGACGGGGTTGATCTTTGGAGTAATGCGCGCGTTTAGGAGGGCTAATGTAGGCGTTACGCAAGGGCTTCTGTGCAGGCCAACGATGATCGCGGGTCTAGTCTCAGTTGACGAGGATATCCACGCGCGCCTACACAAGCTATAAAATCTATTGAACGTTGTTCTTGAAGAGTAAGTGAAAGTGAATTCAATTTCTCTGTATTCACAAACTACAAAACACTTCGACAATTAAAAAAACATTATAGAACTTGATACTTGTAAAATAAATGTTTTTTTCAAAAATTGGACAGGATTATTAATTCAATCCTTCTGAAGAAAAACATCCACTTCAATTTATATTTAGAATAACGTATTATATAAGATTTTCTTCAACATTTGTTTTCCGTTACGTCATGGATCAAATGATGTTGCCCTTATATGGTAACTACCATTTCATTTTCAATTCTAAATAGTTCAACCACAACAAATATAAGAATCTTTATCGCAACGGTTACGATTTTCCAACATTCCTCATTCAAAAAGTACAGTCCCTTTCAAATATCACATATCACTACTTACGCAAACTAGTATGTAGATAAATATTTTATTGATTTTGAAATATATTGAACTAACAAAGAAAGAAATTATTCAACAAGTACTATTTAAAGGTAGAAAATAAAATAAATAATACACGATAACTTTCTCTCGATCGTGGACAACTAAATCGTGTAGACCGCTTCAATCCATACTCCCTGGAACAATGTGAGTGGCGGATCATTCGCGCGTTGGTTTCATCCCTGCTTCAACTGAAGTTTGAAGTGGGAAAAGCACAGTATGTAATCCGTTCTAAGCTTCGCATTGGCGACTGTTAGGGCTTTTACAACCGGCGCGAAATATTTGCAGTCAACGCGAAACGTCCGCAGCGGAAGTTTCGCGCCACGTAGTGACTTATGAGCATGTTCACAGGCCTACGCGCGCAGCAGGCGAGAGTCGCACAGCGGAACTGCAGCATAATTCGCGGCGGTTTTGATTGATTGATGATACCAAACGCATCAACTGAAAATATCATTAATCCCGTAAGTGAAGTGCATGATTTTTCCTCAGGAACTGGCAGTGGTCTTCCTCCGTTGAATGGTGAGTTCCTGCGCCGACCTACCGTCGGCTAGCGGGGTTTAACCCATCCATGAATCTCCCACCTGCGGGGCACCAACCCATCTGGGACAAGCTCTAAGCTCCCAAGGTTGTGTAGTTCACGTTAGTGTGTGTATGTAAGTAAGGGATGAAGATAGGGCAAGGAAGAGGAGGAAAATATTGCGTGTGATCGGTAGCCCGCTTTTTTAGGGTACTGCCCCAGCAATCGCCTGGTATAGATTGGAGAAACCACAGAAAACCACCGATCAGAGCAGCCGGCAGCTAGAATTCTCCGTGAGACAGCGAATGAACTCGACCTAGCTATCTAGCTAGAGTGTCAAAAATACTGCCACCGTCGGGATTCGAACCTAAGACCGATCCCAGACAGTGACATCAGTTGATGCCCTGAGCCACCTCTCCCGGTAATTCACGTCGCATTCCGCCTGCTGAATCGAACGTTCCCAGCGGCCAAGGAAGGGAGTGTGGAATAAGGGGTGCGCAGCTCGCGCAATGTGTGCTGGCAGCGCCCTAGTGCGACCCGTTCGCGGGAGTATTGGATCATCTACTTTGGTCGCTAGTTTCGTAAGCGTAGAGCATGTTATATTCCGCGGCGTTCCAAGATGGAACGTCACATCCGGCGCCGACCTGTACGTCGGTTTACGGGGTTTCCTCCTCCAGGTGTTTCCTCCAGCGAGACTCCGCCCCTGCTGGAGCAAGTTTAAAGCTTGCGACAGGCGTGACGCGTTATTTTTTTTTCTTCTCTGACACACGCGTTTCTACTACCAGTTCGTGTACTTCGCAGTGGCCGTAGTTCTCCTTTGTGGCAGCCGTGCCGTTGGTGTTGGAGCCAGCGTTGGTGTTGGAGCCAGCGTTGGTGTTGGAGCCAGCGTTGGTGTTGGAGCCGGCGTTGGTGTTGGAGCCGGCGTCGGAGGCGGCCTCGCGTGCTTGCGCGGACGCGGAGAACAAGTGGGGATGCGCGCCAGTGCGGAACGTCAGCTGTTGCCGCGCGGCGCGGCGCAGCGAAGCCGTTTCCGGCGAGGACCAAACTTTTTGCGCGCGTCCACTGACGTCACGGCGCCAGTGACTGGCGTCTTCACCACATCCTCTGCGTCGCGACGGCCCGGCCTGCCGCCGCAGTCACCCGCATCACCGCCGCGGGCGAAATACGCTGCAATAGGCACGGCACTCGCCTGCCCTGACATAGTTCGAATCCAGGTACATTCGTTAGGAATTCTGATTCGCGGGAGATTTCATCGGAGAATTCTTGGTTTCTCGTAATACTGAAGGTCAAACAATATTCTCATCAACCTGGCACGGATCCTCAGAGAGGGAAATTAGGGAAATCCTCCCACCCCCCTAAAATTTCTCAGTATCTATAAACGTTAACTTGTCACGAAGCTTTCAAGCAAAAATATTTTCGAGTAATCTCTAAAACGAATAAAATCTTATTGTAGAATAAGCTGATTGTGGCCTGCGACATTTTGCAGAATATGTAATATATAATGACACATTTTGAATTTCCCCTCCCAAAATTTGTATTTTGATCCGCCCTTGCATCAACACAGCATTCGTTTATAGACTATGCCAGTATAAATTAAGAGTATGGAGAACGGACACGTAGGGCATATAAATTGATAACCCTACTTTCGCCCGTTCAGATAACCTCTTCCTCCTCGCTTCGAGCAGTATTACCGCTAGTCAATGTTCAGTACACGCACTAATACGAATTCTAACAACAAGCAACGTCAAAACAAAAACAATAGATTATTAACAAATTCTAGACATCAAATTAATAATATAAATATTAACAGGCAATGTTAACTCATCATCTATGTATTTACCAAGCTCATAATTTTAACATAAAAAATTAATATCTGAAAAATGAAAATTTAAATGAATTAATTTTTTAGGGTTCCACTCCAGCAGTAATTTTCTGTCCTGAGTAATGTACACCAAAGGCAGGCAAATCTTGCCCACTTCAAAAAATATTTCAACACCTCCAATCGTTAAACAAATAACGGATATTAATGCAGTAATACTACTTTGATAATTGGATTGGAATTCGACTCAAAAAACACATAAGTGTTTTTTTTTTTCTAAATATTTATCTTCCCTTCTTACTCCACTGTGGTCACTTCTTATTCCACTGACTCATCAGTTATCACCATTGTTTGAACACGACTCACCAGGAGAAAGTAGTACTCAGAACATTACTGACAGTAATTACATCGCTATCTCAACTGAATCTTAGTTATTATTTTCATTTGCTATTCAGAAAAGTATTGTCTTTAATATCACTTCTTCCGCTCGTGTTTGTGACACAGAAAAGTACATCATACGCAAAATCACACTCCACATAAATAAGATGTATTTAACGATTTTAGAGTAGTTGAGTAATGAGTCGAAATACACACAGACCAGAGAACCATTGCGACAACGAAAAAAGAAAAGTCCCACCTGAGATGGTTCTTTGTTGTGGCGACACAAAATCTGTCTACATAATAAGCAAAAATTTAAATTGAGTCTACACAATTCCACTCAAAAAGTTCAAAAATGTAGCTGAAATGTTACTTTACCGTGTTAGGAACACATAGAAAACATTTTTAAAAAAATATTTTTTCCATATACGGAACTAGAAAATAGAAAAAGGTGAACACACTCACCCTCCTTGTTACTGCTAAAGTAAAATTTATGTTTTCTTACTGTTAAACTTAATATTGCAACTGTTCTTAATGATTCCTGATCTTAAAAAATATTCCGTTTCACAATCTAAGGGAAATTTTGCAGCAAAGTTGTATCTTGTTTTTTTAGAGTCAAGATATTTTTCATAGCACTTCTAGCTGGTCGAGGTATAAAAAAATTATTACTATGATACCTGCATTTATGTCATATTTGACGGGTCTAGATTAGGCTCATACGCAGACAGTTCCATACTTCAAAATAATTTTAATGTTGCAAAAAGTCCTAGACAGTAAAATGTTCGAGCCATCACGAAAAATAAATCCGCACCTACACTTCGATTAAAACATTAAATCCGTTAACACCCGGTCAGCTATGACGCGGTCAGCCAACGTCACAGTATAGTCCAACGACACATCATCGTCATTATAGTGACGTTCAAGCTCACGATTGGATGACAGCGTCACAGCTGACCAATTGTCAACGGATTCAATATTTTAATCAAAGTATACGCTCCTGCTTGGCTATCGGCTGCCTATGTCCTCGGCTATTGACCGAATAATATTTCTGTCTACTTGACAGCTATTTGTGGAGTAGTAGCCACATAGTCATGCGGCACACACGTGGTCGTTCTTGCATCAGATCACAACAATGGCAACAGTGGCAAGAAACAAATCGCAATGAGAGTACACAACAGTTGACGACAGAACAACACACACGACGCATAACCAAACAAGTAATGGTACCAAACGGTGCTCTTCAATTTTCACGTAATTCACACTGTACGGTGTATTTTGTTTCTCTTAATAAGCATTGGTAAGTCTGCAGTGACATCATCAGAATTTGAAGACTCTGATATAAGCCTTCTTGTAGCGTAACGAAATGAGTGCGGGTCTGCCCGCAGAACATTTATCCGGGCCCCCTTTATAAAAGTGTAACGCTAACATAAGTAGTTACTCGCGCTACTTTTCTTGAACGGTGACCCTGCTTCCTCCACCCTGGCACAGTAAACAGTTGAAGGCAGAAGCTCGCAGCGAGCACTGATGACATCATTCTGAATATATCTTCATTGGCGGAAAATAAAAACAAGTTTCTTTTGTAGCCAAGAACGTCTATCCATTATTTTCTCCAAAAAATCTAAAGAAATGATTGAAGCAAGTCAAGATCTATCACAGGAGATACCTCGAACTCCTGAGAAACTTGGAACGCAAATTATTGACAATGTTGCGAAGGCATGACTGATTCTCCTGAGATTGGCATTGCTTCATAAAATCCAGTGGCCGACTTCGTAACTAATATCCTCACTCTATCCGCATTACTTCAATTCATCGTTCAAGAAAAGTTGCGCGAATGAACCTTAAATGATAGAATCATCCCCTAAAAACGGGTCCACTTTTACCCGGGCCCGCCCGCATGGCTGGCCCGCCCGTTACGCCATTGGCCCCTGCTCCTCCCACCTGATCAGTCAAGTCGTCTCCGCCGCCGCCCCCGCAGAGTGCGGCCAGACGCTGCCTCAGCCGGCGCGAGACATGGCGGTCGCTGGCGCTGTGGCAGGTCGAACGACGAGAGCTGCCGCGGAGGCACCTGGGCGGGCAGGCGGCGCGGCGCTGACTGCCTCGCCTCCGCGACGCGAGGCGCAGGCATCCGCCAGCCTGGGCTTTCCTTATCTGCCGCTTGCGATGCGATTCGGGAGGAAAACTATGCGTCAGTTGCCACAGCTGGCTCAGTGCGCGCTATAGATAGATGTGGAGGTTGCGACGAAGAGGGGAATGGAGAATACGGAATGGAAACGAGATGGAAGAATCCACTTAATATCTAGATATTATTATTCTGTATTTATTTTAATTATTTATTGGTACTTTCGCCAATTTTCGCATTTCTGACACGGTAATTACAAAACATTCTTCTACGATATTTGACGCTTTTCAGTACTGACATGTTTCCAGGCTCTAATTTTTTTATTTAATCTGAAAATGGTGTTGCGTTTTGAGGGGGGTGAGTGAAAATAGTTTATTTACATTAACAACACTGCTCATAACTTATTTCGATTTTGATTCTGAATTAAGCTAACCTCAATATTATTTGAATACGATCAACTTCTTTCTTGAAACTGGAAAGTAACTGTGTAATTCTATAACTTTTCATTCCCATGGAGAATTTTCAAAATAAACGAACTTTTTACATTAATTATATTCCCTTCACTAGAAGTTTCTACAATTCTGCATACTAACTGCGAAACTTCGTTTATCCCCTCAGGATTGCTATTTAGGGACTCAAACATGACATGTGGATAACTTGTTCAGTCAAGGTAATTACACTAACTTCACTTCTACAACTCGAACCAATGAGATAGAAGATAAAATCTGTTTATCACGTGCGGAAGAAGGCAGAAAAGACGGCATTCTGTTGTTAGAGAAAGACATTTGGCATTGCTTGGTTCTATAAAAACTTTTTACATAAAAGACAAGAAACCCAAGATTCAACCAGTTAAAAACTGGTGCTGTGCTGAAGAATATCACCCTAACAATATGCCTAAAGAACTCATTCAGAAATATATTCCCATACAAGAATATTGAATATGTCGCATTATACAGAAATTAAACAAATTGAAAGAATAGCTAATTTTAATCGATTTTAAAAAATGTCTTATGAAAAGTAAAATAACTATACTGAAGAAAAAATCCTGAAATATACCCACTGGCTTTGGGACAGGGTGTGTTGCCGGTCCCTCGGCTAAAGATTACGAACAACTCACATGACATCTGTCTTGAGACACTAACAAGGGTTATATAATCCATTATTTTTACTACACAATTGGGGCCAGAAATTGGTCTTGGGTAAAACGGCCTGAAAAAATGTTATTTTGTAAAACAAATGTACATTTATTTCTATTTTATTGATTACAAGATACTTTAATGTGTTATTGTTTACCTACCGTAATATTTTGAAAATATTAACAAATAACGGAATGCGGGGGCATTCAATTCTTATTATAGACATAATTAATGTCCCATGCTTATTTCCTACAATTGAGTGCAGCCCAGTTCCCTTTTTTTAATAAGAAGAAACTACCAATAGTTGTCCTTGCGTGCGCTCTAATTACACCATAATGATTCTGCCTCTCAATTTACCGTGAGAGGACACTCTAATCTCTCGATATAATTCATTTGTTAAGACCTTAGCCGACTCCACGTCCGTCCAATCAATGCACCGTATCTCTGCTTGTCTTATCCCGATACGTCTGGTTCTTCTTAGTCGCAGAACAATTCATACAAAGAGTTTATTTTAGCTGTCTCGCTTCGAGATATCAACTGCCTTCATCTAATAAAGTTCTTTTATACAGTTTCCTGTCTTGCATTTTCTAAGAATGCATACCTTCAATAATCATTAACTCGTTAATTATTTACAGATTCTAGTACTTGTGTGCCAGGTAAAGAAGCGCACCTTCCTCCACTAAACACCGTATCCGTAGGACCAGAACGGACTTTGATTAAAGTAGTTTATTAAAAATAAAAAATAAAACAAATAAAAAAAGCGGGCGTCCATTCCGTCAGTCTCAAAAAGCTTTTTAATTTCCCGGGCCTGCCGCGCTCCGTTAGTTCGCGCGTGCTCCCTAGTGTCGCGTGCCGGCCTCCCAGGCGACCCGCCGCGGACTGATCGCAGCCCATCCTTAGCATCCTGTCCGTGGGCGCGGCGACTGCGGGCGGAGCGCGACCGCTAGGGCCACGTGCGCGGCTTCTTGCCCGCGGCGTCCGCGCCGCGCGGTCCGCGCCCGCCGGCCAGCAGCGCGCGCACAGCGGCCTCGTGGCCGTGCGACGCGGCCGCGTGCAGCGGCGTGCGCCCGTGCTCGTTGGCCGCGCGCACGCTCGCGCCCGCCGCCAGGAGCGCCAGCAGCGCGCGCGTGCGGCGCTTCTTCGCCGCCAGGTAGAGCGCCGTGCGGCCGAAGCGGTCGCGCTCCTCGAGGTCTGTGCCGGCGGCTGCCAGCAATGCCTCCAGCGCGGTCGCGTCGTACTCCGTCGAAGCCAGCACCGCGCCGTGCAGAGCCGGCAGCGCGCTCATGCCTAGACACCCAACCGGGCGGTACTCTCGTCGGTAAACGGCGCGAGGGGGAACTGACAGTTCCTCAAATGGAGTGCCGCGTTCACACCTATTAGGAGAAGTGAACCGTCTTAAAGTTATGTACCTACTGAGAAATATAGCCAAACACAATACTATAGCGCAAAACATTCCATTATTTATTCAACGTAACGAAACAAAAGCAATTGCTTAAGCAGAACGTGACAGACGGTAAGTGCTCGCATTCCATATTGCCGAACGGTGAAGTGCAGGAAAGTCCAACAGAAGCGTAGTCACTTAACATGAGATGTACATAAAATACACGAAAAATGTACGGTTATTTGCAATTAATTCGGCATTGAAAATTCACTTAGGTTTTGTTTCGTGTCATAAAAATATCACATTTTCATGAAGTTCGGAAGATTGTTTTCTAATTAAATACAAAGAACATTTTTAACACATTTTTCCACAACAATATTAGCAAAGGCGAAAGACTATCTTTCCACTATCGTATTAGCAAGATTTTTTAAAACCAACAGTTGTGCAAGATTAACTGATATAATTGTCTAGTGTTCGGCCAAAGATACAGTATGTACAACAATGCCTAGTTTCTGATTCGGTTTCCAATTTCAACATATTCTTTCGAAGGTACTCAGTTATCACTCGGAGGTTGTGATTTAATAGTTACGCAGAGATTGCCATTTCCATTTGTGAAGTACATTTGCGTGAATTTCAAATTCCCTACGTTTTTTTCTTTCAATGAGCCCATTAATTTGATCGGCTCGATCGTAAAATGTAGGACTAGCGGATTTGAAGTAGTGTATCTGTGAAAACCCATAAAAAACTTCAAATTTTCACTCCATACTATATTTATATGTTGACAGTCAATCTCTCTGTTAAACATTGCTTAAAATTTTCAATAATTTTCTTTCAAAAAAATTGCAAATGTCTCACAATATTTTTCAACATTCAACAATTCAATTATTTAACATCACGTAGAATTTTTGGTTTATTTCGTTAATACCATATTAGGTGTACAAAAATGTGAGCTGTTGCACTTCTCTGGAACTGACCGTCTCTTACAGAGCCAATCAGTACTGTGGTAGTGCGTCAGTATTGGCTGTAGTATTTGGACATGTATGCGTGTGAACATATCACGCCTTGGTTTGCACAGCCTTATATTGGGGTTCGCCATCTCTCTTTAACAATTATCGTGAAGAAATGCACTACAATACACCGCCAAGCTTCCCTACACCCGTTTAATAGACGGAACTATTTACAAAAATCCACAGCCTCCACACGTGGATTCGAACCTACAACCTACACTCCTCAATCGCACCCTCGCCGAAATCCACTCAGCTACGATAACAAACAGAACTAAGTGGAAAAAGAAACGTACTTCTTACAAGAATTCTGTATGCATAGTATTATAATGTTTTCAAGTTAGAAAATTCAATGGCATTTATTTGCGATATATAATCAAAATGAAGCAATCGACTACAAGGCTGTGAAAGCAGCCTCCGAATCCGGGTATAAAGTACTGATACCGGTTAAGAAGTAGAACGAAGAGTGAGAAGGAGAATGGTTTAATCGTCTTGAAGTGATTAATAGTTAAACTAATTTAATTTTATTATATCTTTTAAAAAAAATACTTTTATTAATACGTTCACTTCATTTCTTGCATAATATTTAATTAACATTAATTACCTTAATCGTTTCTATTTACATAATTCATTTTTTTTAAATTTAATAATTTCACAAAAATTACATCGTCTTTTAGGCAAGGGAAATTCCCCTAAATCGGCTCCTGATTGTATGCAGATTAATAAATACGTCAACACATTCCATCACAACTTCGGACAGCTCTACCCCAGGAGCCTTCAGCCGTCAGTTAGCGCCCGCGCGAAGTGCAGTATTCCCAAAGCGGCGGTGGCTGTTATTAAGGCAGGCGCCCGGGCGTGAAGCCGGCGCTGTTGCGAGCCGAGGAGCGGGCGGCGGCGGCTGCAATTAGCGGCTGGGAAAGATTACTGCACCGCCTCGCAGATCCGTGTGAGTCCCTCGGGGGTAATTGCAAGGCCGCGAGCGCATCGGCTGCGGATCGCAGTCACAGCGCGCTCCCACCGCTCGTCTGCCCCCCGTCCCCGCCGCCGCCGATGCAATTGAATCCCTTGCTGGAAAAACGGCTCCATTGTCGACGACGAATTTGAACGGACGAGAACTATTTCGTTGGCCGATTATGTACCCGTACCTACATACGCCGGCTTACATTTTCGTTCAATACACTGAAGAAACGTTTCACTGAAAATGATTCTGGGAGTAGTGCTGTTAATAAGAAGTTGAAATGGATTTTAGAAGTTTAGATATGGATTATGAATATTCACTAACATATTCACATTAAATACTAATTAATTGTAATTCATTGCCCACATATTCATTCCTTAATACACCATAGTCTATTGTGTACTACCCACCTAATTGCACGCGCGATCATGCCTTTTCAGTTAACAGAGAATACTGTAGTCTGATCAATCAAAGAATCGATGTTTGTTTCTTATGCGGTTGAATAATGGGAAGTATCGACTTAGCCGTAGATCATCGATCGATCAATTGCTAATGGAGAACGAGGGAATTACGGGAAGAAAAACAGGAGGATAAAGGAAAGCGGTCGGCGCTGTACACTCTGCGGTGGAATCGCGAGGAGACGTCGCGCAGCCAGGGCGACGCGTCGGCGCTACGCGTAGACGAATGGAGAACACGAAGAAATTGTCTCGCGCGCGGTGTAAATTGACCATTACTCGCAGGCGGTCGGCGGGAGCCGGTTCTTTACGCCTGTCGCCGGCGGTGGAGCGAGACG